ACTAGATACCAGTAGCACCTTCTAAATTCGATTGTTCCCAGTCAGATAGAAATCAGAAGTCAGACGAGAAGAGGCAGGAAAGATATATTTGATTCGTTACCAATATATCGAGGACCTTTTCTATGAGCTGGCTAATGAAACGTAGGAGCTGTGTCCCACGCCGTGTTGAAACGTGATCTGGTGCGGATGCATGACCGAAAGCCTTCAGCTAAACAAGTCCACTTAAACAACGTGGTCAGCATCCAATGTCGAACACTTAATGAGCTATTGATTTTGGGGAATTATTTACAGCTACAACCTATTGATTCGCGATATTACACTGACCAATATGCTAACATGAGTTTAGTTCATTATTATATTCATAATCGTGATGCTATCGCGGTTGAAATGACCAATTTTCGTCGTTTCCTACCAGGAGAGGTAGTAATAACACTTTCTAATGAATCTTTTAACATAAGACTAAATATTTTTTTTAGTGTCCTGGGTACTATTGCTTTAAATAAATCCCCAAAATAAATAGCTCCATAAGTCTTTGACATTTGATGCCGACGGCATTATTTTTAACGGATTCACCCAAATGGACGCTCTCGGTCGTGCATCCGCATCAGATCACGAGTGAGTATGCCGTGCTCCACTTCTCTTACAATCGCTAGCCAGCTTAGATTAGTCACTTCTCCATATATCGATATTCTATCAAATATATTTTTGAGCTTTTTCGCTTCTGACTTCTGAGTTCAATGGGTTGGCACATTTCGATTGTAAAAGAAGTTACTGGTTAAGTTGTTGTGAAATTCCTAATACACATGGCATCTTTAGTACTGAGTGACTTCCCTATTCATTGTATTCCTCTAACTTTTCTCCATCTGATGTGGATGTTTTTGATTTTCGTTTTTTGAAGGGAACGTACTAAAGGCTGTGCCTTGTATTCACCGAAAACGCTATCATAATACCAAGGAGTAAATTCCACGTGACAAATGGTTTGCTACTTTTATTTAGTAAAGTTTGATATTGGAAGTTTGGAGATGTGATTATAGAGGATAGATGAAACGGGGCTAAAGTTGAAGTCAAACACAAGTTTCCTTTCAGAAAGCACACTTGAAGGATCCTCATAAATTAGAAGGAACCCACTTCGCTTCTATATAAGGTATTCTTAAAGTCAACCAGTTCAAAGCGAATGCATATGGATTGTCACAGGTTGATTGACATAATCACTACATCGAGAGCCGACAACTAATTATAAATATAATCTTACAAGAAACTGTAGCTCAAAGAGAGTAGCTAGTTTACAGCATCAGGATACCGTTTGAAGAAGATTAGGTTTTGTGCGCTGTTTTTAAACTGCAACGTTACTAGTCTTTCAGATAGTCTAGTGCGTGCACCTGTCCTTCAAAGAACCCTCACTGCTTTAGCAGTCGCATGTAATTTACACATGGCATGATTCTGTTTTTCCGCTCATTCTGTGTTATCACGTTGTGATAGTTGTTCCTCCGTATTTTACTGCTATCATAACCTCATGTTTCAGTCACTTGGATCTCAAATTATGTATAATGGATAGTGATTCCCGGACATATTGTGTTTATTCGAAGCAATAAGTGTTTTGTCTATTTTTGAAGGATGTAACATTTCGAAGTATTGTGTGGGTTTGGTTTCAGATGTATTTTAGACGTATTTATTATTTCCTAAATACCAGGTGTAAAGGAGGAAACAATTATTGCCAAAATTATTGTTAAAATTTGCGCCCATCCAATTTATTTCTGTCGGTCTGTCAGCTCTATATTTTCCCTCCTTTCTTATATATTAGGATTTCTAAAGTATTTGGTTCCACAGGTCAAATGTTTGCTGCTCCTTATTTCCATGTCCTGTATTTTCACTGAGTCAGTCATTTCATGAACAGATGTACTGTGAACTTCCAGGTGTTCCTTTCCCGGAAAGAAATGCATTCGATGTGGTGGTGGCCTGTACTCGACTCATGAGTCCTCTTGCTATATCCTTCGGACAAATCAGTTTGTTTGAAATAGACAGGAAGGTGAGTGGCCTGTGTTACTCCTGGCGATGTCAGTCTTTGGGTTGATCCAGCTTTTAAGAGTGTCGAAAAATGGAGCCGTAGTCATGTATTCAGGTAAAGGATTCCATTCGTTGGCGATTCAATGGGAAGGTCGATAGTCACCTGACAAGTAATTTATTCTGGCCTTGTGAACCTTTTAATTGTAATGCCTTGAATTCTCTGTCTTGAAAAACAGAAAAAAATAAGAGCACATCAGATTGGAAGTCATCATCAAGTAAATTAAAAACCGTGATCGAGTCACCACTGGTTCTTCTATATGCAAGGGAGGTAGATTTAGTTTATCCAGTCTATCGTCATGTGGACGTTTTCGATTTCCAGAATCAGCCTGTTTGCTAATCTTCGAACTTTTCTGACAGTTCATTGTCTCTTTTTAGGCAGAGACTAGCTTCTTGTAAGCAATACTCGAGTTTAGGACGAACGAAAACTGCATACAAAGTCAGAAGGGCTTTATTAACAACGTGGCTAAAGACTTTAGGTATGAGAGACCATAAGGTTCTGATATTTTTGCTTACTGTCGCACGACAGTGTGCAGTAGTTTTTTGTTCTGGCGAACGATGATCGTGTATCTGGTCAACAAGTAGCTCAATGATATCCACGGTGTATGTATCTATCTTGACCAACGTGCATTATAATGCGCTTAGAAGCGTTTGTCGGCGAATGACAAATTCTAGACTATTAAGATAGTTTCTACTATTTATTTATTTATTTAAACACATAAATATTGGTACAAGGAAGCACCAGATATATATGCGCCGCACAAATCTCATTTGATTTGTGTGAGAGCTGTGATACTACCCGGGTGCCCAAACCGAAGTAGGTGTTTTTCTTAAGCGCCCACACCCCGAGCCTTCGAACTAAAGGTCAGATCCACAAGGCAGTGGAGCATCGTGAGGTGATGCAGTCCCACGGTAGCCAGTGACCAACAATTGGTTCATACGCCACTTGTTCCCTCAGGATCTTGGAGCCCATGTGCACCATTGGTTTGGAATCAGGGTTTTCCAACTCCCCTAGGTGAACTCGCCATGTCCACCAACCCGGTTAAAGCGCCGGACAAGCTGGCTTCCTTCAACGTTCGCACACTAATGCAGATCGGACAACAGATGGGGCTGGCTATGTGTTTTTAAAATTCTTAATATCGACGTTTGTTGTCTATCTGAGACCCGTATTCAAGACTCTAGTGAAGTACTACAAATTCGCTCTCCATCTGTCGCTTCGAAAAGCTTGTTTCACGTGCGCTTATCCGGGGACCCTGTGGCATCTTCGTCTGGTCATGCTGGCGTTGATGTTGCACTAAGCGCTAGGGCTGAGGCAGCACTAATCGATTGGATCCCCATTAACAGTCGGTTATGTGCTGTTAGATTAGAAAGTTCCATCAAAGTGAGAAGAAGAGATGGTGCAACACAGTGTCTAGAGACGTTATCAGATATGGCTCAGAATAGAAGCCAGTGGCGAGCTTGCTACAACCTTCTTTTACTTTCTTCATAAAGAGTGGTTCTAACTTTCTTAACTGAAACAGTCTTCCGGTTGTATATTTCAGTCCTTTTTTTCATGTTTTCTCTTCCTATTTTCATTGTTTTGTGTGGCGCATATGTATGTGGTGCCCTTTTGTACCAATATATATGTGTTTAAATAAATAAATAATAAAAGTTCACTCGTTTCACTATTTGCCACTTTCTACAGAGTATCTACAGCGTGTGTTGGTAACTGCTTTTTTTTGTATTGTCCACTCATCAATCGGAGGTTTTCAAATAAACTTATTATTAATATGAAGAATTCTTACTCAATAAGTATTTTTCACTGAATTAACAAAGTGTACCTTAAACTCGACAGCGCTGTGTTTGGTGGATCATCTTTTAAAATGTAAAATACCCACACAGTGAAAAGACTTCAACAGAAGACGAAATTACTGTAGAAGTAATAGTTGTTACTGTTATAGTGGTACAGAAAGAACAAAGATATAAAAGAAGGCTTACTCCATCTAATTCAACTAATTTATTCAGGTTTTAACCCCTCTTTGCTTGCTTATTTTTGACCAGTTAAGTGGTATCACTAGCCCTCAGACAGTGTGATTTAAAAACTGTTAGACAAATTTGTTTTCAGCAAGTTAGTTCATATATTGGATTACTTCTGTGCTCAATAATTAAAAAGAGAAAAAATGCACGCACTCCACTGCCACAAGTGTGTACCCATATCACTTCAACTCTCTTACAACAGAGCATGTTTATCCGTAGAATCCCAAATTGCAATCTCATACCATGCTTTGACGGCTAAATCAGGAACTTGTGGAGTAATATGTTCCCTTGCTCTAGTCTTCCTTACACTGTTTACAACATACTGAAACGCCTTTTATTAAAGTCTGTCGGAAATTGTCATGTGGCGAAACTAAATTGAATGGTATAGCCCTTGCTATATGTATAATTCAATACTTTATCAGAGTCCAGTTTACTCAGCCAAAGGTGATCTCATCAATCTGGAACGCACTGACGGTGTGATTTTATTTTATTTATACACATAAATATTGGTACAAGGGGGCACCATATATGCGCCACACAAAAAAATGTCATTTGATTTTATTGTGTGAGGGCTATGATACTGCCCGGGTGCCCAGACCAAAACAGGTTAAAAGTTTGGGCTCGTCCGGGAACTTTTTGAAGACTATCCCTGACATACCGAGAAGACGTGGGACGTGTCTGTCATCTAAATAATAGTAATAAATATAGGCGGTTGCCAAATATCCTTGTAAACTCTGGAAACTTCTTTAGCTTAATGTTTGTGTTCTAGTACAAGTTATATTCTCCAATATCTTTTCAAAATTCTTAGTCTTTGGATACATCGTATTCTCGTAATGTATTTGAAAAACTTTCTATCTATATAGATTAATATTTCCCCACGTGTATTAGTATTTTAAATTAATGGAAACTGCAAACGCTAACCTATGGCCCTGATCAATTCAAATAAACCAGATAGTGATGGGAACTTAACTGGAACTATCGTACGTCATTTAGATTCACCTTCTCAATCTTCTGTGTCTAGCGAAGAACTCCTCATTTGGTCTAAAGGTTAGTTTCTTTCCCTTTTTAATGATTGACATATTCTTCATTATCCTTGACACTTTAGGCTTTCTGGTTAATATGGTGACGTTTCAGTGTATTTACTGAACAGCATCATATATATGTACAGAAATAAAATTATTTTGAAAAGCAACCTTAAGCCTTGGTTTCACTTGTTTTAGCTCACATTTATAAGCTCGGTGGTTTACAAAACTCACAAGTGACTGTCTTTTAAAAGCATTCCTTAATTTCTAGTAATAAGTTGTGACCTTTTCAGTTCAACAACGTCGGTAATCAGGTGGATATTGCCTATAGTAATAGGTGATAGTTGCTCACTATCGCCAAACTGACTGAATTTAGAAATGTGAGTACCCTTTGCTGAGGAGCTATCCATTGCCTTTAGATTTACAACGCTTGGCTAGTTAAAAATAGTCTTTATTTCAAATTATCTTCAAAAATAAGTACGTTTAAAAATTGGGATGTCAGTTTAAAAATCAATACGAGTCAATATAAAGTGTAGATTAGTAAATTACGGTGAGCAAGTAGTTTTCAGCAGATTCTTATGCGGTTCCATATCTGAGTAAATATCTTTAGATAAAACGACTTGATTGTTAAACTATCCTATTTTCAATCACTAGGCTTCCATATCAAACCTTACTCTTTCTTATTCGGTTTGGGCCACAGGGTAGTCTCACTAATCTCCACATAATCAGTGGATTATGTCTGAGTACAAAATCCTGTACTAAGTAATTGAGCTATGTTCACCGAAACTATTCTATTTGCGTACATGTAATATTGGGGGGGGACTAATGCTCCCTAACGAATTCATTCCCGTGTCACAAACCTTTTGTTATGTCCTTTATCTGTCTACCCACTTTCGTTCCGAGGATAACTTGTCTAATGTAGATTAAGACCTTGGAGCAATAGGTTGACTGACTTAACCTTGAGGTTAATATGTGTGAGTTCAAAGTGGGGGTAGAGAGACGAAATCTATTCTATCCCTGATTGGCTGACAAGCACGTGCGAGTGAGAAGACAAGACAACTGGAACACTATTCGCTTTATTCCGAAATCCGATCTGGTATCCGAATTCAGATTAATGCAAAAAGATACATGAATAAATAGACGACTAACCCGACCACAACGTGCAATAATTATGAAAGTACAAATATTTTTAAAACTGGGGGATTAGGGTAGAAAATAGAGTACAAACGGTCACATCTAAATTACAATAGCTTTGGAACAGAAAAGGCTATGGCAGTGAATCATACATCAAACGAAAGCTTATGATCTGTAGAATAGACTAGGGACAAAAGTAAATATTGCAGTTCTACAAGCTTTGAATTAAATGAAATAATATCCCCAAAAATAGCTTCCGTAATATGTTAAGGCTTCTTGTTTCACTGTTCACATCTCCTTTACTGTCGGAGACGTTACCCCTTATTTATTGAGGCTGCAACCAACCTTTTTAATAAGAAAAGAAACTCGTGGCATGTGTACACGATCTTAAGCTACTCAGATTAGTCTTTGCACTAAACATTTTATTTAAGTGAGGAGCTTAGGTACCTGAGTTTCCTCAATTCGGTTGTCTGCTGCTAAAAATGTACTAATTTACGTACTCATTCTTTTTTTGCATTTTCGACCATAATAATGTATGAAAATAATTATGAATATATATATATATATATATATATATATATTTCTTAAATAATTTCTAGAAGGGAACGATTATGACTGGGAATTATTTCCTATTTCACCGCCACTTAATGAAGAATTATCGCGTATACAAGGTTTATCAAATGTCGAATGTGACAGTAGTTTTACTCCAGTTACGAACAACAATTTAAATGATGTTAATAATGGTAGCAAAACTATTACGATCACTGAAAGTAACTTTAGCAATAGTAACAGTAGTAATGATACAACAATCTACTCATACAATCATCATAATTCTGTTACTGGCCAATTGTCTGCATCACCTTTAACGTTACAATCTTGTTCACATTATATGAATGGTTCATCAATTCAACCCCAACTAATACATTCTACTAAAACTAATATAATAGAAACAACAATTAATGAATTGATTCCTTCATCATCTTTTTCAAGAACATTGTCATCATCGAAAACAGTAACTAATAGTTCCTTTTCATCTAATAATTTATATGACCAAATAAATGTGAATACGTTAGCAGATGATTTTATTGATTTAGACATTAAAACTATTCCTACTACTTCAGGTTGTTCATTGACAACTTCCTATCATCCAGATTTTGATTATGCAGGTTTTCCAGAGTCACCTATTCAATCTTTGCAAAATTCAGCTTCTAATAAAAAATCACAACCTTTAAACTTATCTATTTCTAACAGTGGTATAAATGTACAAAAATCAAGTGTTGTATCTCAATCACCAGAAACAGAAATTATTCGGCAAACATCATTAAATCCACACTTGTAAGTCTTAACTTTTGTCGTGTTTTTTCTCGAAATGATAAAATGATTTATTGCGAATGTGAATGCTTCTAGTGGCGTTACGTTTTATATCCTGATTTGTTTGGTTGTTAGACTTTCTGAACATCAATAATACCTAATTCAAGTATAGATGAGATTTTTATAATTATTCAACAGAAAGTTTTGAAGTTTTTGTTTATTGTTGATTATCTCCAATAGTTTCATGTTAGTCATTTTATTAGACTAATTTTTAACTCCATTTGGTCGGATGTTCTTACGCTCATTTGTTTCTAGATTCAATCTATGCCTGTATGTTTGCTGATTGCAGATTGAACCTAAATATTATGCCACTAGAAATTTTATGATTTTATTTACTCCCCAGTTCAAAATCTTTATACTTTTCCTAATCAATTTAGCCTTTGTAATTGTTCGCTTGAATTTATATAAGTGACTGCATATCACATCGTTTAACTGATCAACTATGTTCATATATGTGTGAGCGAACGGGACACTCACTACTGTGAGATATGCTTTATTCAATGGATGCACTTTGTTTTGTAAATAGCTTTGTATTTACTTCTTTTTGTTATCGTATCTTTCAGTTTCCACAAAATAAAAAATGTATGACATTGATTCTGAAAGGTTTCAGAAGCTTTGAGAGTTTCTAAAATATTTCTCACATATGATAGAATGGTTTGTTTTTTAGTTGATACGGACTAATTTTATGATAGTAAGATAGATTATCGCTAGACACATGTTGATGAGTTTCTCGGACTGAACAGAAAAAGGATGGGCTTTTTTCAAATTTTCTGCGACTTTTTACTTATTTTCTGGTTCTGTATGTACATTTTTAGGCAACTTAAAGCTACAGTAAGGAAATTGATAACTGATTTGGGTTAACCCGCTCAACAACAGAATAGATGGTACAATACGGTTTTTATGACTGTGGCAACATAAATCAGCATCTAGAGTGAAAAAAGTTTGTACCTTACTGACTAACAATCTGAATTGGTGATTTCTAACTCATGCTTTTCCTATGAAATAATGATTTTGGGTCCTAAAAGTAAAATGACATTTGTGGAATCTATGCATATTTTACTACTAGCTGATAGAATTTCTCCAAATATAATCGAACTTATTATTAATCTACATTAACAAAACTATACAATAGGTGTTAGGCTGTACTTCTAGTATCGTAGCCAATAACTTGAAGGTCAAATTTATTACCTATCATCTCATAAATTAAGCTTTTGAGTTATTAAATTCAAACTCCAAGAACAATCGCTTATGGACCTACATAATGCTTGAGTTTACAGTGTGCTGCTTAGTGATCATAGATATTTTTACCAGTTTGATTGGATTGTAAAAAACGGGAAATCGAGTGAACGTTCAAATTTACTCTAATCTGGTAGACAAGGTAATCATCCTAGGGTATGGGTTGATAGTGGTTGTTAGAACATGAATCTGCACAAATGATAGGACAATTCATTTTCATACAATTGGTTGCGTTTAGCAATTTGAATAAAGCAGAATAATATAAATTCATTATATGCATTTAAGTGTAACGTTGGGAGAAGAGTACGTGTTCTCATTTCTGAGCACTTTTCAAAGAATTTGAGACTGAGAGGCACAACAGCTCCATATAGTGCAATAGCTTGCCGTTTAATTGATACCGAACATATCATTGACATTCCCTATTCCTTTAAAACTATCAGCAGGCAAAAAACCCAGGGTCTCTCCAGTTTTCGGAAGCAGTAGCACTATAGAAACTCAAACCTGATTTGTGTGTCTAGAAAGAAACAGTATTCAACTTGCCACTTACCTTGGTAAATTTTAGCTTATTATTGTTGTTTGTCTTGTTATGTGGTCCTCACCAAACTAATTCTTATTTTATGTGGACTAAAATCATCCGTTCATTTATCGATTTTTTATTCACTTAATTCTCTGTAAACTCTTCAAATCTCGTTTAATTATTACGCAAGCCATTTTATCAATTTCTAGTCCTAAACAATTACCACCTCATAATTAAATGTCTTTAATATCTTGTTTCATTTAATATGGGGTGTGGTCCCCTAAGAAAACCACCTGCTTCAGTTTGGGCACCTGGGCAGTATCACAGCCCTCACGCAAATCGAATATGATTTGTGAGGCGCATATATATCTGGTGCCTCTTTGTACCAATATTTATGTGTTTAAATAAAATAAAATAAAACTTTAATATCTATTTTCAAGTCGTTTGAATTTTATTCAAACTCTCCTCGTCTTTTATAATTATCACACAATCTATCTTTGATCTGTTTCTGGACTTCATCTAATTACTACTGCCTCATCCACCCCTCTATGTTTTTGAACTCCAGTCATTATTGATAGTCTATATTATTCTAATTCTTTCCATCATCAATGTCATCTGTTTCACATTATATGTTGACTCAATGTTACACTTTGATACATATATGGTTGTTAGCAGCTGATGAGAAAGCACCGAAATATGATGAATTCATATTATTCTGCCTCAACTGTTGTTTTCACTTTATACTACTCACTTTAATTCTTATCACCTTTTGTCTACCTACACACCGTCTAGTTAAGAATTGAGCCATTGACTGACTTTGATGATTTAGCTTCAACCGCGTTAAAGTAGTTTTAGTGTCAGTAGTTACTGAAAAATGTTCTTATTCTCATTTTCCAACACCATGTTTCAGATTGCAGTCTTGTTGTGTCAAGTTCCAAATCGCTTTAGTCAGTTAATAATCACCCAAGAAGTTTAGATTACAGTCATGGGTTAATTAATACAGATTATTTTAATATAAGCATGTAAATACCTATAGATTTGAGATGATTGGTTACTTTGAAGTATCGGTAGCCCATTATTTGAACAAAAAATAAAAACTCCTAAGATGTTTCTCTTACATGATTGATTGAAGTTTATTTTAACCCTAAGGCCATTGTAAACTGGAACATCAAATTTCTATGTGGGACAAAAATACTTCTGGTAAATACTAACTGTAATAAAAAATTTCCAGCAATAACCGATTTATAAATCAATTTATGATTATAAACAGAGATTGATTATGATTATCCTATGCATCAAAATTTATTGTACACACATAATACTTTCGTATATGTCACATTTTATGTTGCTGTTTCAGTCTAAACTGAAATAAAAATTTTAAAAAAGTATGTTTATCATTAGTAACATTGTCTTTCTCCTTTTTTTGTTTCGTTCATTTTTATTTTTATGGGTTGCTTTCTTAATTTTAGTCGTCAAATGTTGTCATCTGTCAACGAAGTACCTACCACAAAAGTTTTTGTTGGCTACAATAACGGTGTTGGTAACAATAATGATGATTCATCCACAATTTATACAGATTATAGATGTAATCAAAATGGTTATAATAATAAAAAAAATAACAAAGTGAGTAAAATCAATGTTCAAAGATTCTTTTCAGATTTTTGTTCAAATTACAATTTGTTTATAGTCATTACATTTTGTCGTTGATGTTTATTTATCTAGACAAACATATCGGTAAAAGAAGAAACCGAATATATGTATGTGCCACACTTCACCATTCGATTTGTGTGAGAGCTGGGATACTGCCCTGGAGCGTAGACCGAATGAGGTGGTTCTCTTAGGGAGCCACACCCCGAGCATTCGACCTAGAGGTCTAATTCACAAGATGGCGGCGCAACGTTAGGAGGTGCGATCCCATGGTAGCCGGTGACCAACAATAGGTTCATACGCCATTTGTTCCCTCAGGATCCTGGAGACTATGTGCACCATTGGTTCGAAATCAGGGTTTTCCAACTACCCTGGGTGGATCCTCCATATCTACCAACCAGGTTTAAGCGTTGGGTATCCGCTTTTCGTCCTCTCGATTTCGTAACCAACACCCCTGCTGCGAGAAGGCAGTGAGTAGAACTTCCCTGACATTGATTATGTACGTTTGGTCAGACTAGAACATTTCAAGAGGGAGAGGGAACTCTCCCCACCCTCAGCTGTACGAGGGCATTTGGGGACACTATATTGACTTTACATGACCAATATTTTCGTGGATTTTTGTTATCAATTTTATGAAGAAGGATTCGTTGTTGTCTCATCTTAGTATCGGATTTTTCTTGTACTCACTCATGACCCCTACCCCAAGGACCCAAAACTGAGATATTTAGACCTTACGACGAACACGTCACCTTAAAACAACTAAGTTAACACTCAATAGTTCGCATTTTTAACTTCAGTTAGTTCACGATATTGTATACGCTTAATTTCATGATAATAATCGTAAATGTATGAAACTTACTAAACTCTTCACAATCGATTATAAAATATGTAAAATAATATTTGAAGAAAGATAATCCCAATGATAAAATCATCGTCCTGATAGAAATTGTAGAATAATAAAAAAAAAATATAGTTTATTAACTTGACTCGAAATCATTTGATTACTATGTCATTTGTCATTTACTACCTGAGTTAACAGTAAAACGAAATCCAACCGCTCAAATTAAACTAAGTGATGGGAGAGTTTGTGCAAAACGTCGTATACTTAATAATCGATAGTTTTGTCCAAAGATCGGCAAAATTCACGACGGTTTTTTGAGTGAATCCGTTGCTTCGTAGCTAATTGGTTTAACGAAGCCAATTTCGTCTTCTAGACAAAATGAATGAACATTTTAAGGTTATAAAAATAGTGAGAGGTAAAGACCTGGGCATATAGATGCTAGTAACCTGATGTTCATGAATTCCTATGTCCAAGCTCTAACCAGATATCGAATGGTTGCGTTCTAGAAATTCAGAGACTTAATTTGTCAAAGTAATTCCTCTATGGTTATAACAAAGGGATTTCTGTTGTTTTCCGTTTATTCTGATGACAGCTATGACTGTTTTCGGACCCTCAAATCCCAACTTAGTCATTTTTTAGTGTAACTGATATTTCATGACTGTAATGCTTACAGAGTTCTGGAAGTAGGTCATAAATTCTTATTGATTTGATTAGATTTAGATATATCATACCCCTCTCTACTTGGAGTGATGCTATCCATGGTCAATAACTATTTCGGTTAAGTGATGGGCAGCTGAGATCTATATGCCAGTTATATAGTTTAACGAAGTTAACCCATCTAACTTTGTCATAAACATGCTATTAGGAATAGCACTTTCATCGTCTAACTTTTTAGGGATTAACCTTCTATCAGGGGATCCACGTGCTGACCTAAAATACGCAGATGATATAGTTCTGTTTGGTGAAGACGCTGACAGAATGCAGTGTTACGCCCACCTTAAGCAATAATGCAAGCATGTTTGGGGTGCGGTTCTCTTCCTCCAAATGCAAAGTGTTGCTTCATGACTGACCTGGGTCAGAACCTAAATTATTGGTAGAGAGTAAAGTAGTCGAAATCGACCGTTTCACTTATCCTGGAAGTCTCATCAGCACTGATTGTCTGGTGTCTGACGAAAGCTCCTGACAACTCCACTGCTACTCAAACTACAGATCAACAACACTCGCACCTACTAGTCAACTACTTACTACTACTAGTCAACATCCCCAATCACAATTCATTCACTCAATCACTCACATTACACAAATTACCGCATTCATTCACACTGACAATTGTCACCACAACTACCACTAACTGCTCCAAGCATCCATTCAATGCATTGACCACATCCACTGGTCAAATCCACTCTGGTCTGTATCACTCATCCATCCACACAGCCAACAGAGATAAGATAACATCAGTCAACACACCCGACTGAATCCAACTTGATCCGATGTACATACATACAGGTTCTACGTTGTGACTGACTGACGAACTAACAATACACTAAAAGTTCACATACGTGAATGAACTAAAACGTATTTGACAGTGCGTCATTCAATTTACCATGAATACTTAATTTTGCACCGTTTTTCGACTTGGATGATAATGAAACTGTGGAGTAAGTGTTGAATACTGAATGGAAAATCCGAAATTTTAAGATAAATGGATGGCGTCCATGGTACTGACATGGCTCGTAACTACTGATATTGTTGTTGTTATTTTCGTCATATCCAATTTTTATTGTCATTTGTATAAATGTTGACTATGTAATATGATATTTTGTTATCTTTGTTCCTGTCCTTCTTGAACACTTTTTTCAGCATTGATACTCATCTCAGACATACCTATTCGGAACCATATTTATTTACTTAATTGCCAAATTTAATACAGCTAGTCAGCTCTTTCTTACTTGCAGTTCTAAACTGAACAAAATCCACACAATCAAGAATAAATGAAATAGATGAATTGTGACCAGCAATGGAATCCAGAACTAAAAACTGTACCAAGGCAATCCTCTTTGGCTGTACGTATACCAGCAAACACTGACCAAAATTCTGTCCTGATTAACAGCAATGTGATAATTCAAACCCTTGCTAATAACTGTATACCTGTTAAATAATTTATTGGTTATGTGAACTGAATAACTCAGCGGATGTATGTTAGCGTTTGGAGCGAGAGGTACTGGGTTCTAGTCCCAATCTGAACGACATCATCAAGATATAGGGTACATCCAGTTGATGAATCCCAGGAGGGACGAAACAAAACACACGGATCCCACTGCTAACCAAATCCATATATTTTATAAGAACTAACAAAATTGCTACATCAAAGCAATGCTCAAAAACCCGCATATACTGAAAAATGCAGATCAAAATTCATTCCTGAATACCAGCAACGAGATGATTCGAACATGTACTAATAATGGTACAATTAAGTTTATATTTTGTGTAAAGTACAACCTGATAAACAGTTTAACTTCGGACAAAGGTTTACTAAAACTGTTTTTTATGTTTGTACTTTCAATGAACTTATTTTCTATTTGCTTTGGTTGTTTTTTTACATAATGTTTTAACTAGTCATTCCACTGTCAGTCGTCTGAACTCATAGATCATATTATCATCAGACAATGAATCAAGTGAAGATTTACCTGGTTATTCATTTCTGTCATCATCGTCTGCATCATCGTGTATACATATACCGTCTACATACAATGATGATAATCATAATGATAATAATAGCTGTCATGTTAATCACATGGAAAATAATACATTACCAACAAATACTATTCATAAGATAGTTAATGATGAAGAAAACGCTGATAACTGTTGTCATCATGAATATCATAAATATAAAAATCGTCAATATCAACGTCAAGATAATGGATTAATGTCATTGACATCATGTAATTCTATTCCACTTCCATATATGCTTATTCCTACAAGTGAATTAGCTTCAGGTGGTTCACTTACATGTACAGTTGTTAATATCTTGGTAAGTACTATACATGATTGTGTGCATATCTTCAATATTATTTTGTTGAACAAACGGGTTTAGAAGACGCTGACAAAATGCAGTATTCTGTTAAAACTGAGTAATAATGCCAGGATATTTGGGATGGGGTTCTCCCCCTCTAAATGTAAATTGTTACTCCAGGACTGATTTGCGTCAACACCTGAACTAAGTGTAGGGAGTGAAGTGGTCGAACGCGTCGACTAATTCACTTGTCTTGGAAGTATGATCAGCCCTAATGGGTTGGTGTCTGACGATATCTCAGTACGGATTCAAAAAGCTCGTTTGGCTTTTGCCAACTTACGTCACCTATGGTGAATATGAGATATCCGTCTACCAACTAAGGAACGAGTATACAGCGCAGCAGTTCGTTCTCTTCTACTTTATGGCTGCGAAACGTGGCCATTAAGAGTAGAAGATACTCGGAAGCTACTAGTATTTGACCACCGACGCCTTAGAAATATTGCTCGCATCTGCTGGGATCACCGGGTAAATAATAGTGAGGTTAGATATAGGGTATTAGGGAATGATGGTAAATCAGTTGATGAGGTTGTGAATCTTCATCGACTGAGATGGTTGACTACGTGTTACGTATGCCTGGACACTGATTACCACGACGCGCAATGCTGACTAGTGTTGGGGATGGTTGGAAGAAAGTTAGCGTCGGCCAAACCAAAACGTGGCATCAGTGCTTAAAGTCACCAACTTCTGGTGTAAGCGATGTGGGTAGATGCAAACTACTTGGTTGGGGTCCACGTGACTATCGTAACTAATGGTTGTAGACTCTATATGACATGGCTCATAATCCACCACAATGGCGTAGGTGTATACACTCTCTGTCTTCCCTTTAACCTTAGGATTAAAATTGCTTCATATCTGTCTTTCTTCCTGTACTATATCTTTATATGCAATCTCACTTTTATATATTACCACCACTAAACTAACTACTTCTATGATTTCGGTGTTGATCTTGTTGTGCTAATGAGGTATGGCAACTTGGACCGATGCATATGTGTGCTGACTGACTGACTTTAGAAGGATTAATTAAGATTTGATACGATAATATGTATGGATTCGCACTGATAATACGCGAATCGACATCATATGTGATGGTTAAAAGTAGTGCATTCAACATACTTCACTGAACATCGGAAATGTTGCGGATAATATCAGTATGTATTGTTAATGTGAAGTTGTTTCATTTTAACAATATTTCAGTTTGACCTCTGCCGTGGTTGTGTAAAAGACTTCTGCTCTTCCCGGCATACTTATATTGGACCCTGATAGTGCCCTTGTTTGCGCCAATCTCATCTGACGTTTCAGTGTCCAAGAAACTAATTGACGTAAACTGATCGATGTAAACAAATTGGTAGCAGTTTCTGTTCTATTTAAATATCAAACCGAGCTAGGTTCAAGACTACCTATCAGCCCACTGAAAAGTATAGATGAACGTCGTCTGTACATGCATGACACCATGAAAAGCTTGATTTGAGTCGCTTGTGACTTCGCGAGACGTCCCACTCATAAACATTGGGTTTCTACAGAATTCCCACAACTCATTGAAGCACGTCGAGGATGCATTGATCACATCTTCACCCTCCGCCAAATGTTGGAACACCGTCATACTTATCGCAGGCCAACAATCGTAGTGTTTCTTGATATCAGGGCTGCCTTCGATTCGTTGGACAGGACTGTTCTCTGGGATTGTCTATTGAAGAAGGGTGTGCCTGAGAAGTTCATTAACATCTTAAAAGCCCTGTATACGAACACCTCAGGCAGAGTGAGGGCATACAACCACCTTTCTCCCTTGTTCCATTCGAGCAGTGGGGTTAAGCAGGGTTGCCCGATCTCCCCATTCCTCTTCAACTTTGCCATCGACGACATCCTAGAAACAGCTCTGATGGATGTAAGTAATGGCGGTGTGGATATGTTGCCTGGAGAACGACTTCTCGACCTCGAGTATGCGGATGATATTGTCTTACTGTGTGATAATGCCCAAGGCATGCAATCAGCACTTAATCAGTTGGCAATCAGTGTCCGCAGGTACGGCATGTGCTTTGCACCCTCCAAGTGCAAAGTACTTCTACAAGACTGGCAGGATTCTAATCCTGTACTCACCCTGGATGGTGAGGAGATCGAAGTAGTTGAGAAGTTCGTGTATCTAGGTAGCTATATAAGTGCTGGTGGTGGCGTGAGTGATGAGATTGATGCACGTTTAATGAAAGCCAGAGCGGCTTATGCCAATCTGGGCCATCTTTGGCGCCTTCGTGATGTTAGTCTGGCTGTAAAAGGTCGGATCTACAACGCGTCGGTGAGAGCAGTTTTGCTCTATGCTTGTGAAACCTGGCCTCTCCGAGTTGAGGATGTTAGACGTCTCTCTGTGTTCGATCATCGTTGTCTCCGAAGGATTGCTGACATCCAGTGGCAACACCATGTTAGTAATGCAGAGGTTCGGCATCGTGTGTTCGGGCGCAGAGACGATAATTCAATTGGTGTCACCATCTTGAAACACCGACTTCGGTGGCTCGGAGATGTTTTACGAATGTCGTCCCAGAGACTTCCGCGTCGTGCATTATTTGCCGACCCTGGGACTGGTTGGAGAAAGCGGAGAGGAGGTCAGTGTATGACATGGTGTCGTGGCATGAAAGAGAGCTGCAAAGGGCTAGCTTCCGTTGGTCCTTCACGACTCCCTGGTTGGGGTCCGAGAGATAGTGCAACACAGTGGCTAGAGACGTTATCGGATATGGCTCAGAATAGAAGCCAGTGGCGATCCTGCTGCGACCTTCTTTTACTTTCTACATAAAGAATGGTTCTAACTTTCCTAACTGAAAGAATCTTCTGGTTGTACATTTCAGCCCGCCTTATCTTTTCATCCTTTATCTACCTACTTTCATTATTTTGTGTGGCGCATATGTACCTGGTGCCCTTTTGTACCAATATATATGTGTTTAAATAAATAAATAATAAATTGAAGCACGTCGGTCTACTCCAGGTGACCGCGAGTTTGAATACAAACAAAGACTGTTGCGTAATGAAATTGGGCAAAGCTTGCGTAAGGACTGAGAAACCTAGTGATCGGGGCGTGCTAACGAGGTGCAAGGAGCAGCTGTATCTGGTAGCAACCAGAAGCTCATTCAACTCATCTGAGTCACTAGCAACAACAAGTCTGGTGTGCGTGAAACAATCTGAGGCCAACAATCATAGTGTTTCTTGACACCAAGGCAGCATTCGATTCGTTGAATAGGACTGTTCTCTGGGGTTGTCTAGTGAAGAAGGTTGTTCCTGAGAAGTGTATTAACATCCCGAAGACCCTAAATACAGACACTTCAGACAGAGTGAGGGCATACAACCACCTCTCTCCATTGTTCCATTCAAGCAGTGGAGTGAGGCAGGGTTGCCCAATCCCACCATTCTTCTTCAACTTTGCCATCGATGACATTCTGGAAACAGCTCTGATGGATGTAAGTAATGGCGGTGTGGATCTGTTGCCTGGAGAAAGACTTTTCAACCTTGAGTGTGCGGATGATATTGTCGTACTGTGCAATGGTACCCTAAGTCACACAACCGGCACCTAACCAGTTGGCAATCAGTATTTGTAGGTATGGCATGTGTTTTGCACCTTCGAAGTGCAACGTACTTTAAGACTGGCAGGACATTGATCCTGTACTCACCCTGGGTGGTGAGCAGATAGAAGTAATCGAGTTCGTGAATCTGGGTAACTGCATAAGTGCTGGTGATGGCGTGCGTGATGAGATAAATTCACGTATAATCAAAGACAGATTGGCTTATGCCAATTCGGGCCTCTTTGGAGCCTTCGTAAGTTAGTGTGGTTGTAAATGGTCGGATCTACAACGCGTCGGTGAGAGCAGTTTTGCTCTATGCAGGCCAGCCTCCTTCGAAATTCCCATATGTATATACATCAGACAACAGGTAGGGTTGTGTCTTTCGAAAGTCTCGACATCCACATCCGTTGTCTATCCCGAGACCCGTACTCAAGACACTAGTGAAGTACCCTCTGCCAAATGTTAGGACACCGTCATACATATTACAGGCCAACAATCGTAATGCTTCCTGAAATCAAGGTCGCCTTCGATTTGTTGGAAAGCAGTCTTGCTCTATGCTTGTGAAACCTGGTATCTCCGAGTCGATTATGTTGGACGACTCTCTATGTTTGATCATCGTTGTCTCCGAAAGATTGTTGATATCCAGTGGCAAAACCATGTTAGTAGTAATGCAGAGGTTCGCCAACGTGTGTTCGGGTGCAGAGACGATAATCCGATTGGTGTCACTATCGTGAGACACCGACTTCGGTGGCCTGGATATGTCCCACGAATTCCACATCGTGCAATATTTTCCGATGCTGGGATTGGTTGGGAAAGGCGGAAAGGTAGTCAGTGCATGACATGATGCCGTGGTGTGATAGAAAGCTGTATAGGACTGGTTTCCGTCGGCCTTTCATGACTCCCTGTTTGGGGTCGTAGAGATGGTTCATCACAGTGGCTTGAGATATTATCAGAAATGTCTCCAGCTGTAAATTTCTTTTACTTCATAAAAATGAACGTAACTTCTTTGACTGAAAGAATTCTTCTCGGTTGTGCTTTTCCTAAATCAACTGCTTGCCCTATTACTATCTCACTTTCATACACTAATTTCTATTCATTGTCGTACATTTTAACATACCCTTCATTCTCCATTTCTTTAAAACCTCATTGTTATTGTGTAGCGCATATGTATTGTAGTATTCCTTTGCACCAATCTTTATGTGTTCAGATAAATAATAATTATTGATTGACTCCGTTGATAAAGATATATTATATTTTTCATTTTCTAGCGTTGTTTAGGTTTATTGGACCGTTGTGGGGTGGAAGATTTATGCGCAATATTATATGATTTCTGGAATAATAATTGTCATGCTCCATTTTATGCAGCTCATTCTTTTTTTAACTCACATGTTATATATCCAACATGTTGGGAATTATCGCGTATGGAAGAATCTGTGGTAACACGATCATCCTCTTTTACTTCTCGCACTTTAGTTGATTCAAGGCGATCAACAGTACCTGGTGAGGATTATGAAAGAAATTATCAAATGTTAATAAACTGTCGTGAAAGTAAACTGTTAAATGGAAGCTGTTTAGTTAGTTATTTATTATCTTGCAGTTATATGGGTACAAGTTTCCTTGCTTCACATCCAATATATAATTTGAATAGTTTGTCTTCACCTTGTTGTCTACGTCCACCGACAAGTTGCTGTTACTTTGTAATGGATAGAGCTAATCAAATTTCGCCTTATAATACACCGGCAACTTATCATCCTAATTTAATTCAACCAATTTCTAATTCAAATATGAATTGGCGTAGAGGTTGTGCTGATAATCTTGTTCTTATGCTTACACATCATAGTTCTGGTTCCAAAAATACGTCTTCAGTTGTGGATAAGCTTCTTACAGGATGCTTCTTTCCTGGACGTACTTCATGGCGCTCCGTATGGCCTTTTATTCATAAAAACCATTCGAAATGTTTTAACTGTACTAAACCTGAGAGTAATACGTCTGATTCTCTTGCGCTATGGTTTTCTGCATGGCTTTATTGTGGAGCGATACCTGTACTAGCCCAATTGTGTGATTCAGTCTATTCAAATGCAAAGTATTTTCCTCCTGATATCTTACAACGAAGTTGTAATTCTTCAAGATACTCAGCACAAGAACTTGTTTGGTCCCATCGTCTTGTGTATGGTGTCACAGAAAATAGTAAGTATCTATTTGTTTTAGTTCTGATTAGCGTATACAGTTTAATTTAAAGATTCGGTTGACCTTAATAAGACATTACGTAAAAATGAGAAATCGTTTGATGGCTGACATACTTACTGTGTGTCCTTAACCACTAATAACTTCGATACCCAGTACTGTATCAGCGAATGTAACGAAGGCTAGGAGAAACTAAACAACACGTGGCATCCGTCCAACCAATAGTTGGTTGTTGGTCTAAGCCATGTTTGTGGGTACAAACAACCTTGTTGCTGCTGGTTTCCAACAGTTAGAGACCTTAGGTTGCATGTCACTAAATTTTTCACAGTAATATACTATTTTTTATCCATCTCTAGATTCGGGATTTTAATACAATTTCATACCTTCATCCCACGAATTCATCCCTTCTTTTCAATCCATATTTCAATATTTATTTATTCTTACTATCAATGGTGCTATTTTTATTCGCTGTTTTTCTTAGTATTTTCATCTAGCTGTGTTGAAATGACGTGGCAAATTTGAACCGATGCACTTCTGTACCCAAAGCTTCTAATATCAGTTAGAAATGATTATCATAATAAGTTTTGTTAATATCACCATAAAGCTAGCTTTTTAAACTGCGTTAATTTTAAAGATTTTGAGGAACGGTAAATTCACCTTCTACATGTTTAATTCTGTTGAGTTATGTATCATAAAATTATCTATTAAAGCTGAGTAGTGGCTAGTAGTAGAACTCAGGACGCACGTCCCGCTCTATTTAGGACTCGCCATCTAGAAGTAACTTCATCCCAGCTATGATGCTCACGTTGAGACTCGAACTCCAATACCTTACACTTCCAATGTCAATGCATTATCTACCGATCTATTAAGTCCAAATAGCCACTAGCTTTTTCAGCATATGAATAAATGGCAACATCGTAACAATCTACTCAAGATGCACATATACCAATAGAGAAAGATCAGTTGGCAGTCCTTAACATCAACAACGAGGAAATAAAAACCATAGAAGCAGTTTTATCCCAAATATTACTTTAAGAAATAATTTCTTCATTTCAGATTTACGCAATTCAATGTATAGATGTTGTGCCAAAATTTAAACAGTAAAAATGAAAATAACAAAATAAAATTAAGAACTTAAAACCAGTTTGGTTTTTTTCGAATTGCTACTCAGACCTATAGCCGATATTAAATGTAAGATACTATTTCATATAATATCATCCAATGTATCCAATCGCTGATTGCGGTTATCGCAAATCTTCAATTTTCAGATTATCATCAAGAAGCAACAAACTGATATCGATATTTCTATCCTGCCCTGATAGCCCTGGCACGGGTAAGGGTGAGGAGAGTTCCCTCTCCCTCTTGAAATGTTCTAGTCTGACCAAACGTACATAATCAATGTCAGGGAAGTTCTACTCACTGCCTTCTCGCAGCAGGGGTGTTGGTTACGAAATCGAGAGGACGAAAAGCGGATACCCAACGCTTAAACCTGGTTGGTAGATATGGAGGATCCACCCAGGGTAGTTGGAAAACCCTGATTTCAAACCAATGGTGCACATAGTCTCCAGGATCCAGAGGGAACAAATGGCGTATGAACCTATTGTTGGTCACCGGCTACCATGGGATCGCACCTCCTAACGTTGCGCCGCCATCTTGTGAATTAGACCTCTAGGTCGAATGCTCGGGGTGTGGCCCACTAAGAGAACCAGCTGCTTCAGTCTGAGTACCTAGGGAGTACCCTAGCCCACGCACATATCAAGTGATGATTAGAATTGAAAAAATTACTATCGCTTCAGTTTGCACCCTAACAAATTGTATTTGCAATTATTTGACAACAGTCGTCTACATTTTATATTTCATAACGTGTCTGTTCTCTTTCACTCCCATTCTGTGTATTCCTTTATTCAACTCACACAACAGGTCGTCTGTGACGGAAACCCTGCTCTATCTAAATGTTCTCAAGTCATTGATTGATCGAAAGTTAAATGCTACCGCTAAATGCAAATTCCAAATCGGCTATTCTGACACCACGTATACCATGCAGGCCAGCCTCCTTCGAAATTCCCATATGTATATACATCAGACAACAGGTAGGGTTGTGTCTTTCGAAAGTCTCGACATCCACATCCGTTGTCTATCCCGAGACCCGTACTCAAGACACTAGTGAAGTACCCTCTGCCAAATGTTAGGACACCGTCATACATATTACAGGCCAACAATCGTAATGCTTCCTGAAATCAAGGTCGCCTTCGATTTGTTGGAAAGCAGTCTTGCTCTATGCTTGTGAAACCTGGTATCTCCGAGTCGATTATGTTGGACGACTCTCTATGTTTGATCATCGTTGTCTCCGAAAGATTGTTGATATCCAGTGGCAAAACCATGTTAGTAGTAATGCAGAGGTTCGCCAACGTGTGTTCGGGTGCAGAGACGATAATCCGATTGGTGTCACTATCGTGAGACACCGACTTCGGTGGCCTGGACATGTCCCACGAATTTCACGTCGTGCATTATTTGCCGATGCTGGGATTGGTTGGGAAAGGCGGAAAGGTAGTCAGTGCATGACATGATGCCGTGGTGTGATAGAAAGCTGTATAGGACTGGTTTCCGTCGGCCTTTCATGACTCCCTGTTTGGGGTCGTAGAGATGGTTCATCACAGTGGCTTGAGATATTATCAGAAATGTCTCCAGCTGTAAATTTCTTTTACTTCATAAAAATGAACGTAACTTCTTTGACTGAAAGAATTCTTCTCGGTTGTGCTTTTCCTAAATCAACTGCTTGCCCTATTACTATCTCACTTTCATACACTAATTTCTATTCATTGTCGTACATTTTAACATACCCTTCATTCTCCATTTCTTTAAAACCTCATTGTTATTGTGTAGCGCATATGTATTGTAGTATTCCTTTGCACCAATGTTTGTGTTCAAATAATTATGTATAAGAAACCTCGGCTTTGAACTAGTTTGTCAGAACTAGTGATGCTACTGTGTATCTGCATAGACCGGCGTAGAGTATTGTTCAGATATTAGTATTTCAACCATAAAATCTGCATTATTGTTTAGGATTTTCATATCTTCAAAAGCCGTTTATAATTTTTTAAAATGGGTTTTCTTTATATACTTATCTAGTTTCTCCATATAAAGCATCCTTCTTTTTTCGTTGATAGAGGTTCTGTTTACTGTTATTGTCGTTACATCCCTAATATGACTTTTTTAAACTATAGTTTCACAAATTTTGCAAATATATAAGTAGTTGCCACTTGTGTAAACCACACTTTTTGATTTATTTAACAAGTCTTTTGGATTAGTCAAAGCTAGCATGAAGATAAGCAGTTGTATGTGATCAGCTTTTAAAGTAAGTGAAAGCATCCTTATGTTAACCGAAACTCTGATCCTTTATTATTATTAATTGATTTTATTTTTTCCTTTTCTCACAGATGAAGTTTACCTTACAAATCCAAACGAACTAGTCCCTGTCCAATATGTCTTGGATCAATTATCTAAGAAGCCTGAAATCCGTATTTCTAAGGCACAAATTTCAAATTTGTGGACAAAGCATTATTTACATTCAAAATTATACCCTGATAGGGATCAAACTATAGAAGATAAACAACATACTTCTTGTAAATCAACATTTTTCACTGGTGAAAGTCTTGCTCTACTTGCCAGACACCCAGATCCTAGATGGGCTTCTATGAACATAATGGGTAAGTAAAAGTAGATATTTATACTCGTGATGCTTACATAAGTGTTTAGCCTTTTCTAAATGTTATATTTTTTTACCGAATAAATCATAGTTTTACAAAGGTTACTGGCAATTTTGAATAAAGAATCAACTAAAAACTCGAAGTAGTCATGTCATTTCAAGGATAAAGCGAAAAATTCCCATAAATTCCGTTCCCACACAGTCGTTTGATAGTAGTTGTGGTAATATGAAACCATCTATTTCGACGTCGAATGCAATAGTACTTCATTGAAATCACGAACCGATCTAATTTAGACGACCTATGAAAACCTGGGAACACTGAACGGCTGTTTCTCTGTAGTACGCGATTCAGCGGCGCCCATATTCGACTCCCAGTTGTGGGGTCATCGATACGGAATAGCGCGAATTTGCACACCAGAACGAAATGTCGGTCCAGTGCCTCCAGGTTTTAAATTATCTTCTAACTTGCTTGATTCATGATTTTAATGGAACTCAACAATCTTCACAATCCCATACTGGCGTTTGTATTTAGTCATTTTCATTCGAAAGACGTCTAATCACATCGACAACTGGATAAATTGGAGACATGAAGCACAAAATGTTTTTAAAGATTTTCAATTAAAAACTATGTCTTCTGTGTTTTTCTGTGATCAAGCCACCGTGCCATCTGACCGTTTAACAATGATAAAAAAAAGTAGGACTCATTATTCCTTGATAAATTTGTTGTTTTTTTTTCTTATTATCATGGTTGGGTCAGCCACTGATGTCAAAATAAAAATAGAACTTGGGATAAATGTGCATCGGTCCAAGTCGCCACATCATATCAGCAAACCGTGATGAAATCATCGATATGAACACCAAAGTAGGAAGAAAGTTGTAATGTCATTAATAGTATAAATGAAGTGACTTGGGAAAGAAGCTGTATATTCGCAAAATATTGTATGAAACAATTTTGAAACTCGAAACGTAAGAGAGGACAAATAATGAGTGTATTTGTGCCATTGCGATCAATTGTGAGCCATACCACCAAATTCAACAATTGGTCATCATAATCGTACAGACTTCGGCCAAGTAGACGGTATCTATTTACTTATACGGCTGACTCTATTAGTTTATGACTTCATGGATATTTACCTTACATCTTAATTTGGCTTCTACTAGCTTTATTCTAGCTTAATTCTATGCCGGCAAACATCTCGCATCGAAGTAAGCGATGATTGGGCATACTTACACATTTCTCAACCGCTGTCGAACAAGGTTCAGAATCTCATCAACTGATTTGTTATGTTTTCGAAAAACCATACGTCTAACCTCAGAGTTGCTGCAGTTGCATATACAACTCTAACATACAATACAAATTCCACGGTATATTTACTGAATCACGCTCAAATAAGTACAACTGGTCATTGATCAGTCAGTCAGTTACAACGTAGAACTTCGTACGTACGTACATCAGTTCGAGTTGCTATACCACAATAGCACAGAGATGAAGTTGTCAATTCAAATCCCATATTGGTAGAAGTAGTAAGAGTATAAATATTATGTGAAAGATAAGGGTTTGAAGATGTTACTGAAGGAGTATAATACGGTGAAATAAGTTTAGAAATAGAAAAAGGATACGGACATGAAGAATTCAGAATTTGGGAGAACACAAACAGTGGATGCACCTTAGCCATTGCAAACGATTTTGAGCCATGTCATTCAAGGTCTCTAACCATCGGTTGCTATCATCTCGCGAATCCCAACCAGGTAGTCTACACCTACCAACATGGCTCAGTCCAATTGTCAGCGACTTCATGGATTTATGCCACGTTTTGGTCCGGTCGCCCCTAGCTTCCTTCCACCCTACTTCTACACCATAAAGCATTGCACGTCGGGGAAGTCGGTGGTTGGGTATACGTAACACGTGTCCCAGCCATCTCAACTGATCAAGTTTCACTACTTCCTCAATCGATTTGCCATCCTTACCTAGTACCCGTTTCCTAACATCTGCATTACTTACCCGGTGGTCCCAGGATATACGAGCAATGCGTCGAAGACACCCATGATCGAACACTAGTAGCCTACGAATATCCTCTACTCTTATCGGCCATGTTTCACTGCCATAAAGTAGGACGGAACAGATTGCTGCACAGTAAACCCGTCCTTTTGTTGCTAGACGGATATCTCGCCTACGCCATAAATCGCGCAAGTTGGCGAAAGCTGGACGAGCCTTCTGTATCCGTGCTGAGATTTCGTCACACACCAGACCACAAGGGCTGATGAGACTCCCAAGATAAGTGAAGCAGTCAACACGCTCAACTACTTCACTCCCTATCATTAGTTCAGGTGCCGATGCAACCCAATCCTGAAGTAACATTTTGCATTTCGAGGGGGAAAATCTCATCCCGAACATGCCTGCATAGTTGCTTATAGTAGTCAGAAGACTCTGCATTTTGTCAGCGTCTTCACCAAATAAAACTATGTCGTCGGCGTATTCTAAGTCAACAAGTGAGCCTCCCGGTAAAAGTTCAACTCCAGGAGATTGAGATGATGAAAGTGATATCTGTAAAAGCATGTCAACGACAAAGTTAAACAAGAATGGGGAGAGTGGACAGCCCTGACGAACACCACTTGAGGTAACCAATTCTGATGACAGTTCGCCATAGGCTCCAACTCGACCAGTTGTGTTCGAGTAGAGAACGTTTATGAGGTTAATATACTTCTTTGGTACTCCTTTCACTGACAAACACTGCAATAGAACCTCACGATCAACGGAGTCAAATGCCGCCTTAAGGTCAAGAAATACTACTTTTGTGGGACGTCTGAATGTATTTCTATGTTCTAGGACCTGACGTAGAGTGAATATCTGGTCTATGCAACCACGTCCAGGGCGAAAACCAGTTTGGTTTTCTCTAGTCTGCTCTTCACGAGCTTTGATTTGGCGTCCAAGTATTATTGAAGCTAATATTTTAGACATTGTATTAGTCAAACTGATCCCTCTGTGATTGCCACAGGAGGACTTTTGTCCTTTCTTATAGTCTGGCACAATCAGTGATTGGGACCTGTCAGATGGAATTACGTCCAGTTCCCAGATTCTACCTAAGACCTCAGTCAATCTCGCTGCTAGTACTGGACCACCATCCTTAAAAATCTCAGGGGTAAACCTGTCAGGGCCTGCTGCTCTCCCTCGCTTTAAATTTCCGATAGCTTTTTCAACCTCGTAGAGAGTTGGATGACTTACCTCAATTCGCCATTCAGGACGACTGGGGATCGTGCGTAAGTGAAGTGTGGCTGAAGGACAGTTGAACTGATCCCTAAAGTGTTCTGCCCATCGATCCAATCTCCTGGATTGAGAATGAATGATGTGCCCATCTTTATCTGAGATAGTTTCACTGATACTTGGGTTCCTAGTACCGGTTTCTTTAACGAGTCTGAATAGCTGTCTGCTGTTACCTATTGCCGCTGCCTTTTCCATCTCTCTTGCTTTCGCTAACCACCACTGTTCACGATCATTGCGTGGGCTTCTTATTAACCTTCGCTTAAGCTGACTTCGCTCTTCGTTATGTTCAGAGCCAGGTGGGATGAGTTTTCGAGCATCTATCAGTGTGGTAGATGCTGCCGATATCCATTGTTTCTCTCTGACCTTATGGCTTACCTCACTAGCGGATATCACAGCTTTTCGGATGTCATTCCACGCTGCCTTGGGGTAGGCACAACTTACATGTCTGTCTAACTGTTTTTCCACTTGTTCCTGAAATATATTCTTAGCTTGCCTATCATTAAGTAGAACCCTTAGAGGCTTCCCTGCAGTGTCTTTCCTACGTCCAGTAAGACGCAGACAGATACGTGCTCTCACTAGAGCATGATCTGAATCTAGACATGTGCCCCATAATGAGCGAGTCTTCTATCGAGCCCCTCCATCGGTGGCTGATAGCGATGTAATCTAATTGGGTTCAACGTTGGGACGAATTCGGGGGTCGCTATGTCAGAAGATATTTTTCCTTATGCTTAAAGTTAGTATTTGCAAGAAATAGGCGGTTATCTAATCACAGCTACAACAGACGGTCGCCATTATCTGTTCTTTGAGCCACGACATCATAAGATCCGCCCAAGTATCTTTCCCTTTCACTTAGTTTACTACTTGAGCATTAAAGTCGTCTGCCACTATTACTACATCAGAGCGCCTAGCTTTTCGGAGGTCAGAAAGTTACCTGTATAACTCATCTTTTATATCGTCTGAGCTGCAGTCAGTGGGAGAGTAGGCAGAGACGACGAGTTTCCCTATCTTTCCGAGTTCTTACTGATCCGTTTAGCGCATAGACGACTGTCTACTGGGATCCAGTCTAAAAGAGCTAGTTCTGCCCTAGGACTTAATGCTATAACTATTCCAGCGAGGCCACGGGGTGCAGCATCAGGAAATCCGTGGGATAAGGCGAGGTGTGCATTTTTAGGGTCGACCTTTTCTAACCCCATCCCTCAATGAGGGCACCATCGCTGCTATGCTGGTTGTCTGAAGGAAACACCTTACTGCCGTCACACCTCTGTACAGTCGGCAGTGCGACTTCGGGCCTTGGGATTGCTGCTTTTAATCTTACCGCTCTTCAACCGACCTGTCTAGCATGGTAGGACCTCGAGGAACGATTGTTCCAGCCAGCATAGTTCGATTGCTTCATCACGATAGGCAAGCCCGACCACCACGTCAAGGCAGCAGCAATGGTCGGGACTGGTCATTGATAAACACTATAGTTTCAATTGACCACTTCAAAAGATGCGATGAGTGACATTCTTTATATTAAGTCAGTTTATGGTATCATTCCTATTCTGTTTGATTGTCATTGGCAGAAATCTGTCTTAGCACTGGGCCACAATAGCCCCCATAAAGACTTTTAGAAATTAATCTTTCAAGTTACTTTCCTCTCCTCGAATAAAAATTCTCAACTCACTTTGCAATTAGTTATCAATGTTGTCATAGGTAGTATTAAGGAATAAGTATTATTCTGCATCGCAAACTGAAGGATATTTGGTTACGAGTAGATGTAAATATAGAGCTGTGTTAAAATACACTGTGTAGTATATCATCATATACAAAGTTGAAACCAAGGCAAAATTTAATGTTTATGGTAACTGAGTGATTTCTAACCGATAGATTCCTGCAGAGAGTCAATATACATATTCGCTAATTTCCCTTTGTGCCAAGTAATGGCCTTCTTTATGTAGTACCAATGCTTAAAATCGTATTATTTTTTCATCTTTTTTATTATTTAGGACAAGTATTGTGTACTTTGCGCAGTTTGGAGCGTTGGGCTAATACTCTAGAATTATCAAATGTGGTATCGTTAGATTGTGTAAACCATCAATCAGCATTATTTCCTGATACAACTTCATCTATCAGCTGTAGTCGTACAAACTCTACAGAAACGGAACAATTTTCGAATTCTCCAGCTATTACCATTTCATCAGCTCAGTTGCCTGGAATTAGTCTTTTTGTCGAAAAATCCAATTGGGAACTAGTTCATACATTATTACAAACTAAATGCATAGAATAAATGTCGCAAATCATTATCAACATTATGATTTCATTTAATTTAGTGAAAATTGCCATGCATTTAATTTAGAGTTCATCAATTCTTGCTTGTGATCATTATAAACCTTTCATATACATATGCTAGCCTGTACGTATAAATCTTCCTTTGTCAACCTTTTGACTGCAGTCAATCAATGCTGATCACTGGTTTATTATTAACTGCTCTCAGTATATTTTAAATATTTTTCCACTTTTTATTTTAGATAATCTTGCAAGGTCATTCTGTACATTTGAAGATGCAACTGGAATTTGATATATATAAATATATATATTGATGGTCTTATTTATTACAGCTGTTAGGTATTTTTGTTTTTGCGATTAAATAAAATAATCGTTTAAATTTTATGCGAAATGAATCATATTTTCTTATATATAATGTGCAGTAGACTATCTTCTCAAATAAATAATGTATTGCCATGTTTTCGAACTAAATTTTAAATCTCTGGAAGTTTTGAATAAGTAATAAAAAATATAAGCAAACGTACATTTATACTGATATGAATGATTTACCCAAGTCTACGGAAATTTTACACTTTCTAAAATATTAGCATGTATATCCACCTACAACGGTCTGTCAGTTTGAGTTGTCATATTTCAAGACGTCATAAGAAATTAGTCACTATAGCTTCAATGAAAGTCATGTCGAATGACACTAGCAACCAGCACATGGACAGATAACCATTACTATACAAGGGATTTGTGGAGACTTTTGAATTTGATAGTTGACATCACAGACTGATCTTGGCTTATCCATTGTAAACCAGGAGGGAATGGATAGATTTTTCAACACTAAACGCGTAAACTATTGGATCCGGTTCAGTGGTCTAAAGGTTAAGGACTTGCCGCAAAACCCGAAGGTTCTGGGCTTGACCTCCGGATGCTCAGTGCTGAGGAGGTCAATACTAGGACGGAACAACTCCCTGGTGCTTCCTAGGTTTCAATGGATGTTTGATTAAAGTCACCCTGATGGTACCTATAAGGTAACTACTACTTACCTAGGTTTTATGGGTGCGTGTTTTTGAAACTCTTCAAAATATTCTTTAGTCAAAAAATGGCTTTCTACATAACCATCCTACGATTAAAATCTTCGCAGTTTACTTTACCAAATAGTTATTTCATCTTTAACAATTTACTGCTTATATATCAACTAAACTGCTCTTACCGTTTTTATGAAAATATTGGTAGGTGAACACAATGCTAATTAACTACAGGACAAAGCAAGCTTCTCAAACAGCAATTTCGTTACGTGGGTTCGTCACAGAAAATTCATTTACTGCTGTGATAGAACTATACGTTTTAACAAGCTACACTGTAAAAATAAGTCGCAAAAATTAAATGTAATTGCATTTTTGGGTGATCTATTGGGTGCCCGGGCAGCATCCCAGCCCTCACAGAAATCAGATGATTTGTGCGGTGCACAAATATTTGGTGCCTTCTTGTACCAATGTTTATGTGTTTAAACAGTAGTGGTCTTATGACTAATATTAAGGATAAAACCTAATATTATGATTCCAAACTCTCAGAGAATTATTATGGTTTGTTTAGGACATCGTAATTGCTATCTTTCAATGAGAAAACTTTTCTGAGCTATGGCAAAACAATACATCCACTAAGACTTTATGAACTTTGGAAACACTTTATGTATTTTACTAGCAAAAAAAACATATATACATTTCACATATCAAGAAAAGAATCGCATTTACAAAACACGAAATAAGTCGATTGTCACATCTAAAGCATATTTTGCACTGCCTGTTGTACAATAAAATGCCCATCGTCTTCTGTACAGCGCATAATAAACCCACATAAATATTGGGTGTTTGTATTAGGCGTTTGCTTCTTCACAAGCGTCGATCCAATCATTGTAGACATCAATCTCTTGGCTAAGATAATTTATATTAGTCTGAAAGTCTTCTAAACATATTGTACACTTAATGTAACCAATATTGTTATCCCGTTGCCTGAAAAACGTAAAATTATAACACTTATTGGGGGAAAAACTTACAAAATAACTTCACAAGATCGACCATGATTGCAGAACGGACAATTAAACACTTTGTCAAGTGGGACAATAGCTTTTCGCTTTGGTGGAGGCTTGTTACTACTTCGGCGACGACCCATATATAAGTTTAGAACAGTAAACTTTTCTAGAGAGTGAACTAAAAGATTTTGGCGGAAAAACTGAATTTAGTAGAATTTCGGGATAATTCGAGAAAAATCTCCAAAAATGAAATGACATCATTGAAACAATGACCACACAAGTTAGACAACTTCAACAATGCTAGATAAGACAATTATGGTAAAGAAACAGAACAAACATTTTAGGAAATCTAAGTTCATTTGCTATTGTTTGTTTGAATCTTCTAATTGATGTTTAGGACTGCAATGGATCAGTCTCTAATTGGCATATTTGCGTATTGCCTTGATATAGCCTTAATTGACAAGCATCACGAGCAAAAATGGATAGCGGTTAGCAGTGGAATCCAGAACGAGCGTTTCGTTTTATTAATTTAAGTCCTAAACATCAATGATATGTTTCAAACAAATAATACCAAGTGAATTTAAACTTCACACCATTGCACAAGCAAGTGACTTTCAGGAGTCAGTAGCTAAGTGGATAACGCGATGGTGTCTGAAGGCCTCCAAATGCCCTGGTACGGCCGAGAGTGGGGAGAGTCCACTCTCCCTCTCGAAATGCTCTCACATGGCCAGCGAATATATAGCCTCTGCCAGGGAAGTCCTACTCACTGCCTTCTCACAGTGACAGTGTTGTTTACGAAAGTGAGAGGACGAAAAGCGAATGTCCGGCGCTTTAACCGGGTTGGTGGACAAGGCGAGTCCACCTAGGGGAGTTGGAAAACCCTGATTCCAAACCAATGATGCACATGGGCTCCAGTATCCTGAGGGAACAAATGGCGTACGAATCAATCATTGATCACCGGCTACCATGGGACTGCATCTCCTCATGATGCTCCACTGCCTTGTGGATCAGATCTTTCGGTCAAAGGCTCCGGGTGTGGGCCCCTAAGAAAACCACCTACTTCAGTTCGGGCACCTGGGCAGTATCACAGCCCTCAAGCAAATCGAATGATATTTGTATGGCGCATATGTATCTGGTGCTTCCTTGTACCAATATTTATGTGTTTAAATAAATAAATAAATAAATGGTGTCTGAAGCGAACGGTACTGCGTTCGAGTCCCAGAGTGAACGTCGAGTCTGAGATGCAGATGCATCCAGCTGATGAGTCCAAAATAGGGCGAAACGCGCGTCCTGAACCCCAATGTTAGTCACCATTCATCTTCGCTTTTATTGATAGGAAATCGTCTTGATAGCTGAGGTTGGTGGTAGCCAACAGGAAATCTTGGAACTAGGTTTTGTCGGGAAGGTGTACTTGTAATCACGAGGGCACTGATGCTCCCTCGAGGGCCTGATCTCACGTGACACACCACAATCAGAGACGTTACTGGTTATCTATTGAGGGTTCGACAGACCTCATGTAGGACACATTTACATCTGTTTATTAACTAATGTCAAGTCGCTTGGACTAGTGGTCACATTGCAATTCGGTCAGGACTAAAAAGAACTTGACATATATGACACTGGTTACTACTCAGTGATCAATTAGCTATGAATCGTTTTAAAAATAGTCGGAAATCAGAAAATATATCAATATTAAGACCTTGTGTGACATGGCTCAAAATCGTTTGCAATGGCGAAGGTGCATCCACTCTTTGTGTTTTACCAAATTCTAATCCTCTGAATTCCTCATGTCCCTATCTTTTTTCTCTTTTCAAATTTATTTCACTGTATTATACTCCTTCAATAACATCTTCAAACCCTAATCTTTCGGATTACCGCTTATGCTCTTACTACTTCTACCACTATGGGATTTGAATCGACAACTGAATCTCTGTGCTAATATGGTATGGCAACTCGAATTGATGTACGTACGTACAAAGTTCTACGTTGTGACTGACTGACTTAGAAACTTCATGGTGACTGGGACTGTGGTGGTTTGTTTTCATGATAAACTATCCCTGAAACCATATTACCCTTAGATGCATTTTCGCGGCGGGAGTGCTGTTTACGAAATCGAGAGGACGCCCGGCAATTTAACAGGGTTGGTGGGTTCGTCAGTTCTAGCAGATTCCCCATGGAATGCAGGAAATATGTTATACATAGAGTCACATTAAATGTAACTTTGGAATATGAGGATCCAACGCTATTTAGTGGGGGGATATATTCGGGAAAATTACAAATCCGGATTATTCAAAAATAGGGAGGTGTTATGTCTCGATAACAATAGTGAATGGTAACTTTGTTATCCATCTATTTACTTACTTACTTACGCCTGTTACTCCCAATGGAGCATAGGCCGCCGACCAGCTTTCTCCAACCCACTCTGTCCTGGGCCTTCTTTTCTAGTTCTTTCCAGTTCTTGTTCATTATTCTCATGTCTGTCTCTATTTCTCGGCGTAATGTGTCCTTTGGTCTTCCTCTTCTTCGTTGACCTTCAGGATTCCATGTGAAGGCTTGTCTTGTGACGCAATTAGCTGATTTCCTCAAGGTGTGCCCAATCCACTTCCAGCGCTTCTTTCTCTGCTGAAATCTGGTTTGTTGTCTCCCACAGTAACTTGTTGCTGATAGTGTCTGGCCATCTGATCCGAAGTATCTTGCGTAGACAGCTGTTGATGAACACTTGTATCTTCTGGATAATGGCTTTCGTAGTTCTCCACGTCTCCGCCCCATACAGTAGAACTGTCTTCACATTTGTATTGAAAATTCTAACCTTGGTGTTGGTTGACAATTGTTTTGAGCTCCAGATGCTTTTCAGTTGTAGGTATGCTGCTCTTGCTTTGCCGATCCGCGCCCTCACATCTGCATCTGATCCACCGTGTTCATCAATGATGCTGCCCAGATATGTAAAAATTTCCACATCCTCCAAAGCTTCTCCGTCAAGTGTAATTTGATTGGTGCATATTGTATTGTATCGGAGAGTCTTGCTTTTCCCTTTGTTTATATTGAGACCTACTGCTGCTGAGGCTACTGCTACACTGGTCGTTTTCTCCTGCATTTGTTGTTGCGTTTGTGATAGAAGAGCCAGATCATCCGCGAAGTCTAAATCGTCAAGCTGCATCCTGCCTGTCCACTGTATCCCGTGATTTCCTCCAGATGTTGACGTCTTCATGATCCAGTCGATCACCAGGAGAAAGAGAAAGGGTGAGAGTAGGCAACCTTGCCTAACACCGGTCTTTACCTCGAATGAGTCGGTGAGTTGTCCTCTGTTGACGATTTGACAGTTTAGTCCATCATAGGAGTTCCGTATGATATTGACTATCTTCTCAGGCACGCCGTAGTGTCGAAGAAGCCTCCATAGTGTCGTCCTGTCCACGCTATCAAATGCTTTCTCGTAGTCGATGAAGTTGATGTAGAGTGATGAGTTCCATTCGATTGATTGTTCCACAATGATCCGCAGAGTTGCGATTTGATCTGTGCACGATCTATCCTTACGAAATCCAGCTTGTTGATCTCGAAGTTGGGCATCTACGGAATCCTTCATCCTGTTTAACAATACTCGGTTGAAGACTTTTCCTGGTATTGAGAGGAGAGTGATGCCCCTGTAGTTGTCGCACTTGCTCAGATCGCCTTTCTTTGATATCTTGATCAGAAGTCCTTTTTTCCAGTCTGTTGGAACTTGTTCTTCATCCCAAATCTTACTGAAGAGGATGTGTAGTATCTTGGCAGTTGCTGTTACATTTGCTTTCAGTGTCTCTGCCGGGATGTTGTCTGGTCCCGCTGCTTTGCCACTATTGATTTGTCTAATGGCCATGCTGATCTCTTCAATTGTTGGTGGGCCAATATCGATTGGGAGGTCTGTGGGTGCTGCTTCGATGTTGGGTGGGTTCAGTGGAGCTGGTCGATTCAAGAGTTCCTTGAAGTGTTCTACCCACCTGTTTCGTTGTTCTTCAATATCGTTGATTACTTTGCCTTCCTTGTTTTTCACTGGTCTTTCTGGTTGACGGTAATTTCCAGCAAGTTTCTTTGTTGTATCATACAGTTGTCTCATGTTTCCTTCTCTTGCAGCCTTTTCCGCTGTCGTTGCTAAATCTTCAACATATTTACGTTTGTCGGTTCTGATGCTCCTCTTCACTTGCTTGTTTGCCTCTGTGTATTCGGCTTGTGCCTTGGCTTTTTCTTCTCTTGTTCGGCTGATATTGATAGCTGCCTTCTTGTTCCTCCTTGCTTCAATCTTATCCAGTGTACCAACAGTGATCCATTCCTTGTGATGGTGCTTCTTTTGGCCCAGAACGTCTTGACACGTTGAAACGATTGCCTCCTTGATACCTTTCCAGTTGCTCTGCACGGTAGTTCCCTTTCCATTGAGTAGATCATGAAAGGCCTCGAACCTGTTGCTGAGGGTTATGTTGAATTTGTTGAGTTTGTCAGCATCTCAAAGAAAGGCCGTATTAAACTTTTGTGATGTTGTCCGCACCGTTGTCCACTGCTTCTTGAGTTTTAGCTTCATCTTGGCGACCAGCAAATGATGATCGGATGCTATATCAGCTCCTCTCCTGGTTCTCACATCCTCCTGAACTTTTTGTTGATGCAGATATGGTCGATTTGATTCTGTGTAATGTGATCCGGTGAAATCCAAGTGGCTTTGTGTATGTTTTTGTGTGGGAATATGGTGCCACCTATGACCAGTTTATTGAAGGCACATAGGTTTGTAAATCTCTCACCATTTTCGTTCCATTCTCCCAGTCCATGTTGTCCCATGACGTCTTCGTATCCAGTGTTGTCCTTTCCAACTTTGGCATTGAAATCTCCCATCAAAATGGTCAGATCCTTGGTTGGGCACTTCTTGAAGATCGACTGCAATCTGTTGTAGAATTGGTCTTTAGCGTCTTCATCGTAGTCATTGGTAGGCGCATAGCATTGGATGACGTTCATTGTAATGCCCTCTCTCTTTGTTTTGAAGGAGGCTTTGATGATCCTTGGTCCATGAGATTCCCATCCAATAAGTGCATTTTGTGCTTTTCTGGACAGCATCAATGCAACTCCTTGTGCATGTGGGGCATTTTCTTCTTCATGACCGGAGTATAACAGAAGTTCTCCTGAAGACAGTCGTTGTTGTCCAACCTGCGTCCAATGCGTTTC